CCTGCCAATGCCTCTTCGAGTTCCAATGTTTGGTCTTGTTTCTGTACTCATTATGTTGGTAGTGGTCCCAATTTTAAATCGGATCTTATTATGTGTTTCTTATAGGTCTTAGCATTCATTTTTTGTGCAATTAGGAACATTTTGAGAGTGAAAAGAGGAATTGCTAATAATTTCTCTAGAGCTATGGGTCCCTGGGTGGTGCAAACAGTAATGTGCTTGGCTGCTAACAGTAAGGTTGAAGGCTCCACTCTACCCAGAGGCACCTCAGAAGGCCTGATAATCTACTTTTAGTTAAAAAAAAAAAAAAATCTGCAATTGACAATCCTATGGAGAAGCACAGTTCTAGCCTGACACATAAGGGGTTACAATGAGTTGGAATTGACCAGACAGCAACTGATGAATTGATTTGCTCTAGCACTGCAGAAGTTAATAAGGACTGTCCTGACAAACCAAGATGCATGTTCACCACAACTGTAAGGTAAGTTAATCTTTTGTGGATCAAATCTGCTATGTTTAAAATAAGTAAAACACGTACAGAGAACTAAAAATTAAGACCTCCCCACTCTCATGAGCAACCATGTTGCTTTTTGACTATTGTTGTTGTTGTTAATTATACTTATTATACTTGTAGATGATCATTGTTGTTCAGTGCCGACTCAAAGCAACCCTGTAAAGGGTTTCCATGGAGCAGCTGGTGGGTTTGAACTGCTGACCTTGTGGTTCACAGTCCAATGCTGATCCTACAGCACCACTCCAGGAATCCTATTTGTTGAAACAAACGTGTTTTTGATCAAAATTAGAAAGCCTATGTTTCTAAAGCTTGCTAATCAAATATAGCATGATTCCAAGACTGTATCTTCTTTGGCTTTTATGCTCTCAGGAGAAAATAAAAAGCAACTAAAAATGTAACACAAAGTATCCAGATGTTAAATGCATTCTTGAATGCATTACAAGAATACTGTGAAAAATAAAACATCCCAGTGTCCTGAACAGAGATATATACTGGAGTCTAAAACTGGACTACATATAAGATGCTATGAGTTCATCACACTGAGACACAGCATCTTCCCAGTGATGAGGCACTGTTCCCCTCACATTTCTTTAGAATCATGCTACCAAACTTTCAGGGTGCACATAATAAACCACCTTTTGTGTGAATTTCTCTGAACATGCTTTTAAACTGAGTTTGAGGCCTGGTGTTCTCTTTCCTAAGTCTCTTTCTCTTTTCATACTGACTTCTCTAATTTAACAGGGGTATCCCGAGCCATTGTCCCTTTGGTATTCAGAGGTAGCTTCCTTCCCTTCCTCAATTAACAAGAGCATCCTAAAGCATACATATCTTGGGTGAGTTTTAAAGAAATGATGTCAGTGCTGATACTTAACCAGGTGGATTGTTTTATTTAAAAGACTCCAGAAAGCAGTGAAGACAAGGACCTCTAGTTGCGGTCTTAAATGAGCAGTTCTTAACTTGTGAACATGAGGAGCTTGGCTTTACTTTGAAGCTCAAGATCCTTTTCTGCTGAGACCTTGATATTGGGTGATTGTCTTTTTCTAGTCCAGTCCAATTAAGGAGTGACTTATCTTTTTCACTTACTCCCACATGATTTCTAGAATTATGCTAAGACAAAAAGACAAAACGAAGCAGCAAAACACACCTTTTGAATGGCAGAGTCTTGAGTAAAATATTTTAAAGTCCTTATAAAGTACCTACCATTTGCAATAACCATACTTTCATAGACACTCTTGCTATTATTATTTTACATTAATATATTTGCTTATGTAGATGTGAAATCATTTTAAGTTTCAAAAATAATTATCTCATTTACTATTTATTGAAATATTTGATTTTAAACCTTCAACGATACAAATATGAGGGGACTTCAAAAAGCACGTGGAAAAATTCTAATATCTTTTAATTCCATTTTTCATAACCTTTTTGATGACCCTCATAGCTAACATATATAATTGAATTTTAAAAAGCAAGCTGGTGCGGAATGTGGGGTAAGCACTCAACTGTTAACAGCAAGATTGGATGTTGCTCTCAGAAACCCTATACAGGGGTGGCTATGCATCAGAACCAACTAGATGACACAAAGCAATATATATATATATATATATATATGTTGTTGTTGTTGTTAAGTGCCGTCGAGTCGGTTCCGACCCATAGCGACCCTGTACAGGGTTTCCGAGGGTGTAAATCTTTACGGGAGTAGAAAGCCTCATCTTTCTCCCGCGGAGCGGCTGGTAGTTTCGAACTGCTGACCTTAAGGTTCGCAGCCCGATTCGTAACCACTACGCTACCAGATATATATATATACATATACACAGAGTATGAGCCTTATACAAAGGGGCTCAAAAAGTTGATTCCATTTTTCCACAAATGTCTGAAGCCCACCTTTAATCACATAGTCTGATAATTATTAATATAATACATATTTCATCTCTAATCTTAGAAAAGAAGTCTGAGACAATAGTCAATCAATTGTGGTTTTGTGGATGATTCTTGTGGAGAGTAGGGAAGAGAGGAATAATGACAGACATTTATAAGTATTTCTGCATTTGAATTTTTTATAAGTAAAACAGCTGTTGTTGTTATGTACTGTGGAGTTGGTTCCATCTCATAGCGATCCTGTACAGGGTTTCCAAGGCTGTAAATCTTTATGGGAGCAGAAAGCCTCATCTTTCTCCCACGGAACAGCTGGTAGTTTCAAACTGCTAACCCTGAGGTTCGCAGCCCGATTCGTAACCACTACGCTACCAGAGCTCCTTAAGTAAAACAGTAGATACTATTAAAAAACTAAGAAAATGTATAAGCTATGCAGGAAATCTAATGTTTATTAGTTTAAATCCATAGCTAAAATGTTAGTATACAGAGTAGGGTCCTTGTCTTATAGCTCTTCAACTATCTTCTATTTTCTTGTTGTTTGTTGTCGTTAAGTGCTGTCGAGGTGGTTCAGACCAATAGCAACCCTACATAGAATTTCTGAAAAGCCACTGGTGAGCTTGAACGGCCAACCTTGTGGATCAAAGCAGCCTTGCAGTACAGCACATTAAAATCAGTTCTGAATCATAGAGACCTTGTGTAGGGTGGTTTCCAAAGAGCAGCTGATGGGTTTGAACCACCAACCTTTTTGCTAACAGTCCAGTGCTTATCCTACTGTGTCACACCAGGACTTCATATAGAGACTAATATTAAGTGGATATGAAATAAATGTTGAATTGTGAACAAAAATAAAATACAATGATCATCATCTATGCTTTGTACTCTAAAGTATCTATTTAGACCCGGGCTTGCAAACTGGTGGTCTATGACTATGTTCTTTTCAATCACAAAATTCAAAATTTTCTTATACAAATTTAGAAGGATTATCAATACTTGTCTCTTTCCCTGGTTGAAACAATCCACTAGATCTGAGCAGCTCCCCTGCTTTTGATCTCTACTCCCAACAGTATTGCATAGTCCACTTCACTCCTTTACATTAAAGTTTGCTTCCTTCCACAATGAAGTTTGCTATCCCTAATCTCATCAGTTAAAGTGAAAATGAGTACCGCACAATGAAGTCAACCAGCAAAGTCCCAAATCAGCGAGGCTCTTAAAAATGGTTCGTGCTTCAGACATCTAAAAATGACCCCTGTTCTATGAAAGCTTCTTTGGAGCTCCAGGCTATAAAGGCCCAAGGGTACTTCTAAGAACACTGAAAACTATCACTTTACTTCCTACATGTTATATCCCATTATTTAAATATATACACATCTTAGATCTATACAAGATTAGATGCCATTCCTCATAGTGAAAACTGTAATTCTTTATCTTCTTATAAACAGTCCCCTCCCCAACAAACACATGATAGATACTGAAAACTCCAATAAGAGAGCCATGGCCTTTATTTGAACATGTGAGTCCTTGGACTGATACAGCAACCACAGTCACAGAGTGAGAACTATTCTGAAAGGCATCAGCAAACCGTCAGACAGGGGGATGGCAACCTTGGTGTCCCCCCTGTAAAACAGCTAGATTGATGCAAAAAGCAATTCCTGACTTGGGGGTCACAGGTCCTTTTAATTCTGCAAATGCAGTCTTAGAGGCCTGTGAGAATATTCCAGCATTTTGGTACCTAATTGGAAAGGTATCTACAATATGGACGAATGTATCCAATTGCTTTGTTTCCTTGTGAAAATCTATATATTCACTCTACTAATGGAGTCTTGGTGTGGTGCTGTGGGTTAACGTGCCATACTACAAAGCCGTTTGAACTGCAAGGTCGGTGGTTCAAGTTCACCAGCTGCTCCTCGGAAACCCTATACAGGCTCACTAATGGGTCGGAATCAACTTGACGGCACTTAACAACAACAATTCTACTAACAAGCTGTCCCAAACCAAGGATACAGGCAGGGTAGAGGGCATTAAGATAATGCTTGGATGCAAAATTTGGAAAATAACCCACACAGAATCATCAACTGTTTCATAGGCAAAACTCTTAGTAACAATGAGTCATAGGAGAAAAGCAATAATTCAGAGGGAGTCGGAATCGACTCCATGGCACATAACACCAACCACCACCACCCTTGGAGAAGGGAGTCCTGGTTTGACACTATGGGTTAATGTACCGGACTGCAAAGTCAGTTTGAACTGCAAGTTTGGTGGTTCAAGCTTACCAGTCACTCCCCGGAAACACTACACAGGGTTGCTATTGGGCTGGAACTGACTCTACAGCACTTAACAACCACCACCACCACCACTGGAGATGCATTTGGGGCTGCTAACATCAAAGCCAACAGCTTGAATCTACCAGTTGCTTCTCGAAAGAAAGATGAGGCTTTCTGCTCCCGTAAGGGTTTATAGTCTCGGAAACCCTATACAGGGTCACTACCAGTCAGAACCAACCTGACACCACACAACCACCACCACCACCACCGTTAGACACCATCCACTCTCTAACATAGAAAGTACTTTTCATCTGTGTCCAGATAAATGATTCCCTTTAGAAGTTTTAACTTACTCGGGTCTGTTGCACTCTCGAATTGCCGTTTTGATGCCCCCTCCACACGTTCTTGAGCATGTTCCAAAGTGACTCCAACTTCCCCAGGATCCATCAGTCGCAGGGACCTCCATTTCTTTGGGAACACAAAATCCAAACTTGCAGTGCTGTGTTTAATAAGGGGAACAGTGAGGGAGAGCTCGGAGCTGCGCATTCATCATCTATATGAATAATGGATATTGTGGGAATTCTCATCTCACACTTAGCGATTTCAGGCTGTATTCTAATACAACTTGTTTGACTAAACGGTCAATGATAGATTGGCTCCAGTCTGGTGGAGTAACTCCAGTGGCCAGCTTTGAATTGCTTGATAAATCTGCTTGGAAAAAAGGAGGAGGAGAATGGGCAGGCTGCTTGTAGACACAGCCCAAAGAACTTATTATTGGATTTGCATAAAGAAACTCCATGAATGAGGCTTATGAGATGTTATGGAGTCCTGGTGTGGTGCTATGGGTTAATGCGCTAAACTGCAAAGCCGTTTGAGCTGCAAGGTTGGCAGTTCAAACTCACCAGCTGCTCCTGAGAAACCGTATACAGGATTGCTATGGGTTGGAATGGACTCAACTGCACTTAACAACAACAACATGAGATGTTATGAGCTTAGTAAGGAGCTCTGGTACTATAGTGATTACGAGTCTGTTAACCTCAAGGTGAGCAGTTTGAAACTACCAGCCGTTTTGTGAGAAAAAGAAGAGGCTTTCTGTTCTTGTCAAGATTTATAGCCTTGGAAACCCTAAACAGGATTACATACCACCACCACCACCACCAACATTGCTCCCAAAGGATTTGAAAACCCAATATTAATAGGAGAGACAGAGAGAGAACACTAGTTTCATGATTCCTACAAACTCACTCACTCCAAGAAGTCACACAGGATGAGACTAAAGTTAAGATGGACTTCACAGAGGGCCCTAAATTTTATGACTTTTTTTTTGTTTGTCTGTTACTAATAGTTTCAGACTCACCAGCCCCGAGCAGGAAGAAGGCCATGATGTTTAACAAACAAAACAAAACAGAAGTCCTCAGCAGGACAAGGGAGTCAAGAAGCCTATTTCAACTCTCTGCCATTGTTGGGGCTTGAGGCCCTGACACTAAGAGGAGGTCACACAGCAGCAAACAAAGGAAGACTGGCGGCAGGGACGCAGGAGGGGGATCCCCGCGGCGCGCTCAGATCTCTGAAGCGGAGCTGGTGGGCTTCGGGAAGAGGCAGGGGGATGACAGGATGGACCTGGGCAAGTCAGGGCTGCACACTGGGCCGGGGCGGAGTAGTTTACGGGAAAGTGGAAAACTAAGAGCAGGTGAAAGTCTCCTCTGGACCAGGAGGCTCCATGAGAGCCTTGATGAACAATTATTTAAAGCATGCAATTAACCTTTCTGTATTCTGCGGGCATTCTCCCTTGTAATTATCCTCTTATGGTATCTGAGAAGACGTCACTCTCCCTGGGCTGTTTGGCTGAGGCTCAAAGGCTCTGCATCCCAATCCTGAGCAACTCAGTACTCAGGAAACTTAGCCAGAGGCTGCGATGACCACAAACCTCCCTGGAAATCATTTAATAATTTTCTTTATAGTTGTCTTGAACATTTCTTGGAATGCATGCACAAAAAATAAATGAACAGGCAGCTTGCTATAGAAAATATTCATTATCTTTTAATACAATTGTTCAGTGAACTTTTTGAAGCCCCCTGGTAGAAGGATAACTTAAGCCATGTGGTGCAAGGCAGGTCTGAAGGAACAGTCTTGCAGTCAAACAGTTCTGGCTTTTGAATTGTGTCTTTTCCACATACTAAATCTATTACCTTGAGCAAATCATTAAACTGTTTCCATAGCTGTAAAATGGGGAACTACCCGCCAAAGTTGTTGTTGTTGTTGTTAAGTACCGTGGAGTCGGTTCTGACTCACAGTGACCCTGTACAGGTTTTCCAAGCCTGTGAATCTTTATGTGAGCAGAAAGCCTCATCTTTCTCCCGCGGAACAGCTGGTAGTTTCAAACTGTCACCTTGACATTAGCAGCCCAATCGCGGCGGCGCTGTGGGTTAATGCGCCAGACTGCAAAGCCATTTGAACTGCCAGGTTGGCGGTTCAAGCTTACCAGCTGCTCCTCGGAAATCCTATATAGGGTCACTATGGGTCGGAACCGACTCGACAACACTTTACAACAACAACAACAACAACAACAATGCTAAAGTAGTCATGAGTATATATGAAACTACCTAGTGTGATGCTGTGGATTTTAATGTGCTGGACTGCAAAGTCGGTTTGAACCACAAGGTTGCTGTGGTTCAAGCTCACCAGCTATTCTTTGGAAACCCTAAAGAGGGTCACTGTGAGTCGGAACCAACTCGATGGCACTTGAAAACAAGAACAACAACCTGGCAAAGCAGCCTTGGGTATACTTTGAGATAATATAGGTAACGCACATAGCACACACTTTAGCACACAGGGGACTCCAATAGTATTTATAATGATGATGGCAAAAGTTCGTGTAGCACTTATTACAATGGGCTTCCGGTGTGCAGCTGTGGGCTCAGCACTGGACGGCGAACCACACGGTCGGCAGTGCAAACCCACCAGCTGCTCCCTGGAAAATCTATGTTGTTGTTGTTGTGTGCCGTGGAGTCGGTTCCGACTCATAGCGACCCTGTACAGGGTTTCCGAGGCTGTAAATCTTTACGGGAGCAGAATGCCTCATCTTTCTCCCGTGGAGCAGCTGGTAGTTTCCAACTGCTGACCTTGCGATTCACAGCCCGATTCGTAACCACTATACAACCAGAGCTCCTCTACAGCTTGCTATCAGTCAAGTTTGACTTGACAGCACTTTAACAATAACAACAATTCTAAGCATTTTTACTTATATATCTACTTAATCCTGCATAACCACACTATCAAGTAGATACTATAACTATTGTTATTCCCATTTTTACAGATAAGAAAATTGAGTCACAGAGGGCTAACGCTAAACACCAGGAAGAGCTGAGATGGAAGCACAGGCAATCTGACTCTTAAGTGCCTCTCAGTGGTGAGCAAATGGGGACAATTTTTAACATCTAAATAAAGGCTGAATTTTTTTAAAAAGCAGAGAAATTAAAGAGCTAACTCGGTGAGGCTGAGATTCCAGGATGCCCACCTGATATTCATTCTTTCTTTCATTCTTGGTAACAGAAGCTGTATCTTTCCCAGCTTCCCTTACAGAGAGAGTGGTCAAAGACATAGCAACAGAATTCACTGGGAAAGATTTTGAGAAAGGTTCTTTTGTCCCTTTGTCCTTTGACTTCATCCTGTCTGGAACTCAGACTTGATGGGTTGAGCTCCAGCAGCCATTTTATAGCCGTGAGGAAGAAGATCATTGCAAAGGATAGTAAAGAAGAAATAAATTAAGAGCTTGAATCTCTCAAGACTTTGTGGAGCTGCCATAGCTGTTATAATGTATATATCTCTGAACTCATATTTTTGTGTATCAGAAAAAGACTCAATTTCCTTATACTGCTATAATTGAATCTTGCCTAGAAAAAATTCCTAACTAATGAACAATTGAGGTCACAGCTGATGGATACTGAAACTCGGGCCTCAAATCTTTCTGCTACGCACACAAGATATAAATTCTACAAAGTAAGAAGAAAAATCCTATGACTATTCATTAATTTTAATAATGATAAGTGGCTTGGCAATGCTTTCTTTTTTTCCCTGTCCTCTTGACACATCAGACTTCAGTCTCCTGATGTCTCTATTCTTTAGATTCTACCACCATACAGGACCAAACTCCAGAGACTATAATTCTCATTAAGCATGAATATAAACCTCAGAGAAAAACAAGGATATGGGTTTATCGTAGTGCTATAGCTAAACACTGCACTAAAGGGTCCTTTTAAAAAAAATTTAAAAGATTATTAAAATATGGCATGCAAATTAAACATTTCTTAGTGTCTAACCACTGATGGGTGTCCAAAAGAGAAGAATCTCAGATGGGTAAGGAAGTCTAAGGTGACAGAGGCTGGAAATAAGGATGTTTGACAAATAGGCGCCAATGTAATCTTTTTCACTGGGCAAATTGGTCAAACAAACTGGAATAGCCATTACATTATAACAAAGCATTAAGTGGGTGGTGAAGTCAGAGCTAAAATACAGTCATTCTTATAAGCATCCAAAGTCATTTAAATGATGTTTTACATAAGTGCATCTCTTTTTAAAGAGGGTGGAAGTGGGACTTGAAGATCAATTTCATCCCAAGGATACTTAAAACAAAAAGTTTTAAACTCAGATTTACAAACAGAGTTAAAATGAAAATGTTAATGATCTTAACAAGACAATGGAGAAAATAAACAGACATTAGAGAGTCATTCATCAAAATAACACAGTGTCGGCAGGGCAGTCCAAGATCTATGACTACTATGGGAACAGTGAAGGAAGAAAGAAAATGGAAAAAAAGAGAAAGAAGGAGGAAAAGAAAAAGAGAGACAGAGAGACAGTAAGAGATGGCAGAAGGAGTTAGAATTTTCTGGCATATAGAGACAAGACATATGGCTTTAATACAAAGTCTATCAAAACTAAACAATGACCAAAAATACACCACAAAAAAATATTCTGTGCCAACATATCCATCATTGTTGGCATTTACAAAATGCGTAAATACTTTCCCAAGGAATGAACACGTATATCCCCATATTTTTTTTTTTTTCAACACAACTACAGTGTCCCTATCATTTTCTCTGCATGGTTGCTTCTCTACAATTGTTTTGAGCCTGGCCTTTGGAATGCCTTTAGATCTCCTGCCTTGCTGAACGCAAGTATTCATGGAAAATGTCTTCTGAAGTTTCTCTTAATATTTCTCATCTGAGGGATGGTGTAAGACAAACCTGCAACAACCGAAGATGAGAAAAAGACACAGAGATACCCTCCAAGTTCTATGCTCGAGAATGTATCGGGAAACTGTAATGCTTGGAAAAAGTAAATGTTGGACACTTCACATATCCCTACTTTTATTATTGACTGCTTTTACAATAGTGCCATATAAATGCCAGCATGATGTCAGCATACAGTAGACCTCAGTCTCACACAATTGGAGGTTAACTGTTGTTGGTATGTGCCATTGAGTCAGTTCCAACTCATAGCAACCCTGTATGGGGTTTCAGAAGAGTAATTGGTTTTAATGGATTCTGGTTTGACATCAAATTTATTATTATAACTAAATTAATATATAAATATATATATATATATCGTAAGGGTAAGTAAAAGCAAAACTTTTTTCTTCCATTGCTGTTGTTAGGTGCCACCGAGTCCCTGAGTGATACAATATATGTGCTTGGCTGCTAAAAAAAGGATTGTTAGTGGTGGTTATGTACTCTGGAGTTGGCTCATGATCCATAGCAACTCTATATAGTGTTTCCAAGGCTATAAATCTTTATGGGAGCAGAAAGCCTCATTTTTCTCCTGAAGAGCAACTGGTAGATTCAAACTGCTTACTTTCCCTTTAGCAGCCTAACTCATAATCCACTATGGTACCAGGGGTGGGCTAACAAAATTCACCCAGAGGTGACCCAGAAGAAAGACCTGGTAATCTATTTTGGAAAACTCTGCCATTGAAAACCCTACAAAACACACACGGGGCAGCCATGACTCAGAATGAAATCAATGGCAGTTAGTTTTCTGTTGTTGTTGTTCATAGGAAGCTTAGCAGCCCATTTATGACAGTTTCACTAAATGTAATTCACTTAATCAAATTACTGACAATTCTTTTTGTTGTGTGTGTGTGTGTGTTTTCTGGCAACAATTATGTGTCAAAGATAGACACAAGAGAGTGGGTACCTAGGGCTGACTAAAAAATACACCACCAGTGATTTTCTTGAGGTACGCAGACTCGATTTAACTAAGATAGTTGGGTGGCTCAACTAGATGTCAACCACGTGTCCTCTCTGTTGATGACTCCTATCAATTAGGGTCATTGTGTTTGGAAGGACTCTGAGGCCAAATCCCAATGTTGTAAGAATAAATGTCGCATTCATTATCAATGACCACCATGAAAACCCAAGAGCCACATTTCCACTCATTTCTAGGATTCTGAGCATCATCATATGAACTTAAATATTACACAAAAGTATGAAATTCACTTTGTAGACAAAAAGATATGGTTGCACATGTGTGTATGTGTGTGGATGGAAAGATAGATCAATCGATCAAGAGATACATAATTATTTTCTCCATTTAAACCAATGAAAGCTCCAGAAGTAACTCTTGCAAGGTTGTTACTAGGGAAAGGTGATTCTCAATTGCTACAGTTCTAGCCGCTGGGAAGTTAGTTCCTGAGCTTAGTCACCAAGTTAAATCTAGCAACAACAAAATTGTCTTCATTATAATCTATTACTCCAATATTGGACATTATATTCTTAAAATACCTTTCATGACCCCTAGCTCATTTAACTTGATAACCACCCTGAGAGGTGGGTGAAAAACACACTAGTATTCCTGTTAACTGGAAAGGACTTCAGTGAGCCTGAATTGTATCCACTCCACTAGACCCTGCTGCCCCTCAACCCCAGCCAAATAATGGGCCAAGGTGGGAAAGGAGGCAGTAATAGAGTTATCCAATGGTCTGAGTGATTTCTGACATGTCCTTCATTTTTCTCAGGTCCCACATGGATAAAATCTGGGAAGGTCTCCTTCTACTGAAACATCCTGGGTACTGTTAATTGTATAAGTTAAAATGAAGGAATAGGAAATCAGAGAGAACAAAGTATTAAAAATGAGTAAAGGGGACAATGAGAAGAAGAGAAATACATATATAAGGATGATGAGACACTCAGCAATATAGTTCCAGGGGTTACATCATGGATAAGTGAGAGAATGCTATCTTCCATATGGAAAAAAATTAAAATCAGGTAACAGCTAAAAGTTTTTTCAAACAAAAATTTACAGTAATGTTGATGATGATATCACTAACTTGCTTCAAGTGGACACCAGACACAGAAGGTTGAGTTAATTATATACCTTGGTATGTGGGAAACTGTCACCATTGGTCCATGCAAGTAACAGATTTTGTTTAGTTATTAACAAGTAAGTGGGAAGCATAATAGCCAGCTCATTAGAATTTGGATTTGGATATATTCCAGGTGACATCATTACTCCTCAAAAGGAACCAGACAGTTTGGGCATAGCCAGGTATCCTGGTAGTGAGCGCAGTGCGTATATACTGTATTTCCTTGACTCTGAGATACTCTATCAACTTAATTCTAGCTTTCCCAAAGAGAGAGAAGAGAAAGAAACACAAACCCATATTGAATTGACTCTCAAATTAAAAATCACTTTGAGACTTCCAAAATGAAAACAAGAACAAACTATCTTAAAAAGAAGTGGACCCGCCTCCTTAAAAATAATGTACATTCTGACACATACTGCATTATATAATAAACAATGGTGAGTGATCAGTCAGACGCTTGCACGTTGCTGCCCCAAGACAGCAGGACGAGACTGGACGGGGCATTACTTGCCTTTCCGGGCTCACACTCTGTTCCGTCAGCCCAGGGCGTGTGTTGAGTGCGGCAGCCTTTGTGCGATCCATCCACGTTATTGCACCAGAGTCTTCTACATTGCATCTGCTCGAGTCAATGGAAGGACAATTAAGCAACAGCGTGATTAAGGAGCTATTGAATGAGCAGGCTTGCTTGTTGTTTTGCTAACGACATAATAGTCTAGGTTGGGACAGGACTTTTTCTGCCTTTCTTTTTTGGTTGTTCTGATAATTGATCACGTATTCCGAAAGACACAGAGAGCAGTCTTGAGACACATCTCCATGCCTGGAATAAATGATTTCTTCCCAAAGGAAACTTCTATGTATCAGAAACCTGTATGATACCACCTGGTCCACACTAACACCTCCCCATATTCCAGATAAGGAAACTGAGGATCACAAACACTAAGGAGTAAATGTTACACCAGAACCCTGAAAGCTGTATTTTAGTTCAAGTCTGGCTTGGTCACCAAACCAATGTCTTATTGTTTTTTCTTCTGACTAAAACAAAACAAAACATCCGATTGGCATCGAACGGATTTAGAGTCTTATCAGCTCTACTGGACAGAGAACTTGTCTGAGGGTTTGCAGAGCTGTACATCTTTATGGAAATAAATAGATGGACACATCTTTCTTCCACAGAGTGACTAGGGAGTTCAAACTGATGACCTTTTGCTTAGCAGTGGCGTGCTTAACCACTATACCACCAGGGCTCTTTATATTCCCCTGACTAGACCACATGGGAGTCCTAGTGTGGACTGTGGCTTAATGTGCTGGATTGCAAGGTCAGTTCGAACTGCAAGGTCAGCAATTCAGACTCACCAGCTGCTCCTTGGAAAGCCTATGCAGGGTTGCTATGAGTCGGAACTGACTTCCCAGCACCAAACAACAACAACAACAAAAGCCACATGATACCATGTTATCATCATACTTTTACTCCTTTTCAAGGCTTTGTTTAGAGCTTGTCAGGGGAAAGAAGGAACAAAACACTGTGAAATATTTTGTTGTTGTTGCTGTTGTGAAGTGCCATTGAGTCCGTTCTGACTCATAGCAACCCTGTTGGATCTCTAAGGAGCAAGTGGTGAGCTTATTTTAGGCACACAAAAATTACCGAAAAATAACAATACCCCCTAGCCACATAGAGAAATTAAACTTTATAGGTACAACTTGGGTACCTAGCCTGCATCCTATTTGCTTCCTTTTCTCCCCAGAAAGGCCACTTTCCTGAATGGTACTCATGATTTCATCAAGCTCATTGTTTTTACTACACATGTATACAAATCTACCAACAATATACTGAATTATGTTGTGTGTGTTTAAGCTTTATTCAAATAGTACCACATGGATGTGTCTAATGCACATTGTATTTTGCTTCCCTCTATACATTATGTTTTTCAGAGTTACACAAGTTTATACGCTATATCTCCATTTTAGGATATACTTTTAAAAGATCATTTGTTAAAAATTCCTGACTATTACAGTAACCATGCTAATTATACAAAATTCAGATCGTACTAAAGCTTTCTTTTATTCAAATAAAGGTGAAAGAGTTGCCAATCACACACCCTTTCCTGAAAATTTTTTTTACAGTTGAAAATATACATTACCAAATAATTCCTTTCCTCTTATTTTGACTGAAAATTGTATCAGAAGCATGTCTCTGTGTGTACATCAATTTTAATAGCTGCATAATATTCCACCAAATGAAAATCTAATTTGCTTAGTTATTTCATTACTAGGCATTTGGACGACTTCTAATTTTTGTTGTCTTGAGTAACATACATCATTATGGTTTTTACATTATTTCCTGGAATCACTGAAATCACCATGCTGTCTCCAAAGTCTCTCCCAACAAAATCACTAACCAACCAACGAAATACACAAGCAAGCTTCCAAGGGGATGGGATAGATGACCACGGAAACACAGTTCTGCTCACATCACTGATATAGATGTCCAGAATACAGACATGAGATGACCAATCAAACGGAATGAAATGCGACAAGGAGAGAAGAGGGCTGACCTTTGCCATTGTCAGCTTTATAACCTTATCTTCTCTGAGCCTCACTTTCTCACTTGGACCATGACAACAATAAAGTCATCTTCCGTTTGGGCTGTTGTGAGCAAAATGAGAAAGTGCAGGTAAAGCACCACTTTACAGTGAGGACCACTTACCACTGGTTCCCACCACCATCATTATTAGGTTAAGCATCAGGCGTCAACAGACCATTCTTAACTGTTACTAGGGTGGTTTACACTACAATGAGACTGCGATGCAGAATCAAGAATTAAAAAAAAAAAAATCCATAATCAATGTATGAAGAGAGAAACAGTGTCAACAACTTACCATATATGGGCACACCTGAGAACCTGGTCCAAAAATCAATTCACATTGTTTGTTCACACTGTAAAGAAGGCCCGGCAGTTGTGGGGGCAAAGGGTAGGGTCTGGATTCAGGTTCATTAAGCAAACATTCGCCATAACCAGTGCTACAGAAGGCAGAAAAACAAAGACGGTCAGAGCAGTGGACGCGACTGTGCCTGTCATGGGTCTCAGACAAATAAATGCGAAGGCCATGCCACCGTACGGACAGTAGAGGATGGTCCTCTTTTATATTTTGTTGTATTCTGTTGATCTAAGTTAAAAAATTGAAGGTATATTTTGGTGCATACTTGTTTGCAGAATCTCATGTTATGCATACAACCAGCACTGTTGTTGTTATTGTTAAGTGCCATTGAGTTGGTCCTGATCCATAGTGACCCTGTATACAGTTTTCAAGGAACAGCTAGTGAGCTTGAACTGCCAACCTCGCAGTTCAAACCACCCTTGCAGTCCAGTGCACTAACCCACCATGCCACAAAGAGCATGGTGGTGGTGGTTATGTGTCATGGAGTCAGTTCTGACTCATAGCGAACCTGCATAGGGTTTCTGAGGCTATAAATCTTCATGGGAGCAGAAAGACTCATCTTTCTCCTGCAGAACAGCCCGTAGTTTCGAACTGCTGACCTTGAGGTTAGCAGCTCAACTCATAGTAACTACGCTACCAGAGCTACTTACAAAGACTATGTTGTTGCTGTTATGTACCGTGGAGTAGGTTACAACTCATAGCGACCCTGTACAAGGTTTCCAAGGCTGTAAATATTTACAGGAGTAGAAAGCCTCATCTTTCTCCCACGGAACAGCTGGTAGTTTCAAACTGCTGACCGGTGAGATCAGCAGCCTGATTCGTAACAACTACGCTACCAGAGCTCCTTACAAAGACCACAGCACATAGGAAATATGTCCTTGTTGCAGCATTGATCACATGTGCATGACAATTATGTATCTATTTTTCACTATCTTTCCCTCTAGATGGTAAGCTTCTTTGGGGCAAAGAAGTTTTTCATCCAAGCTAAGAGTCTTGTCCCTAGCAACAGGTGCTTAGTCAATGTTTGATGAGTAGATGAGTGAGCGAATGAATCAATGACTCAGAGAAAGAAAACACCGCACACCATCTGATGAAGAAGGAAAACAGCAACCCTCAGGTTCCTTTGCTTTTCTGCATTCACCTCTACTGGAAAATTCACGCTCAGTGACTTCTGATTAACAAAACCCCCTCTTCCCTGTGGTTGCAGAAATATACACCCAGTGACCTTGGAAAAATCACTTAACCTTTTGTACTTCTGGGAGAGAAGGGCAATAAATCTGTGACACACGGACATTGGATCATATAATTGGATCTTGGAACAGCCTGGCAGGAAGCTTGAAAAACAAAATGAGAAAAGAAGGAAGAATAGAAGAAGGAGAAGAGAGCAAGAAGGAGAGAAAAAATACCCTCAATTCAACGATCACACGGAGATACGCTGCAATTCTAATCTACCCACTTAGCTCTCTCTCGGGTTCCCTCACTCCTCTACTCCTTTTCAACCCCAAACTATACAGTTGGAATCTCATAAGGGATGGGTGTGCCCATCTTCATGGAATCGCATACGTGGTCCCTCCCTCAAGACAAGAATAAATTTCAAAGCTTTACTGAAAATGAAGCAAACTTTACATGTTCTCTTTCAAAACCCCATGCTTTTCTTGAGTTCAGTCGATTCTCTTCTAACCTCTGGACAGAATATGAACCACAGAGATGTCAGAGAGTAATTTTTTTTTTCTCCCTCCACCAAGGAATGTCAACAAAAATAACAACTCCAAAGGAATGCTTGACTCTATATTTTCTTTCCCACAATTAGTTCACTATATGGGGCAGAAGTTGAAATCTATGCCAAAAGCAGGGTCAAGTCTTACTCTAAAAACTCAGTGATATATTTTCGACTGCATTTTGACCACATCCAGGGATTGGTGTAGAAGTTCAGCGTTGGAGCCATGACATGCTGGGGACTCTTAACTCCTTCTTCTTTGCATTTATTGTTGTCATCGTGCGGCATGTTAAACCTATGGGCAACAAGACAATGATGTTATGTAATGTCAATAAACATCAAGAGATCATGCTGTTATAACTGCTGCAAGAATACATTTGTTTAGGAGGCAAAAAAAAAGAACAATACAAACCGACCACTGCTGAATCATGTAAGCAGAAGAAAACTTAGCAGACAGTTCAAGATGGGGCACAGAAAAAAAACATCACTCCCACCTAATTTAACACAAAGCGCCTTTAATGTATAAAAACTAAGGCAGGGGCTATGCCATTATTTGGTTTAAAAATAGATATTTGGATTTGCAGAGGCTCTGAACGTTCTGTAGCTGGTGATAGAATACAGTACTTGAGATTCTTAATAAGCTGTTAAAGGCAAATTTATAGAGTCAAGAATTTTGGCAGGTTATAGTAATGTGAATAGAAAGAGTTATTCAAGTGTCGCAAAGAGTGAAGCCAAAAACTTTCTAATAAGAAACTCACTATGGGTCTTGGCATTTCCCCCCTTTTGGATCAGGTTAGCAAATGATAAACCCATGTAGGTATATCATTATAAAGGTATGCAAAGTTTGCATACAATAAAACCCATTAAAGAAAGCTGCAAGCATGGGAATTAAAGACATGCCAATTCAGTTGGCTTAACTCAGAGATGGCAAATAGTTTCATGCTGCATGCCAACATCAGTTGATGGTACAGACTTCCTGAAAAGTCAAGCACAAAAAGGATTCTTAAACTAATCCAGGTTCCGCCTGAGAAAAAGCTGTGATGGATTGCCAGTGCTCTCTTGAGCCTGGGAGGGAACAGGGCAGGAGTGTTAACACATACTTGCCATTCTTGGCTGGGCTAAAGGAAGTGGAAAAAGAAATGATAGGAAGTATTTCTCAATCCAGAAACATCAATTCTGTGACCCACACACTGTTCTCAGATCTACTAATCATCCACTGGGTGACCAGTTCAAATACTCTTTGGACAACTGTCTTCAATCACAGAATTGACATATAGGATTTCGTGTTTATAAAGGAATTCCCTTCACTACTTCAGCTCCAAAGGGACCCTGGTGACACATTATTTAAAGTATTCAGTTGTAAACCGAAAGGTCAGTGGTTCAAACCCACAAGCCTGCTCCCGTAAAGATTACAGTACTGGAAACCCTATGGGGCAGTTTTACTCTGTCTTACAGAGTTGTGATTGTTAGAATCAACTCAAAAGCAGTGGGAGGGTTCAGCTCAAATACCGAAATCAATGAAATGTGCTTCAATAAACGTAAGAGCTGGTGTGAAAGCTGGTGAGGTCTATTCCATTGACTTCTCTTGTGTTCTGATTTATTTATTTATTTATTTATTTATTTATTTTAAATGTAGGCCCCTTAGTTATTACCAGGGGAGATGAAACCAAACTCAACCTTTCTAGTTTGAACTTAGTATTAATTGTTCTTGATGTGTCCATTTTCTTTACAGAAAGACTGTCCAAGATTCTAGTTCCTGGCTGCATATGATCCTGTGTATTATCGAGATCAACAAACACAATTCAAGCAAAACATCCAAAGTTTAGTTTCCCCATGGTTTAAAAACTAATGTTCATCTCTCACCCACACCATGATTTGATATGATCAAGTTTATTGTATCACGGACACGTAAGATTTTCATTCAAATTCAGGCACATTTGCTCTTAGAAGGGGTTGGTTAGCTAATAATAACGATTGATTGAGCATTTGCAAAACAATAATGTTGTTGTTAAGTGATATAGAGTTGGTTCTGGCTCATAACAACCCTGTACAGGGTTTCCAAGGTGCAGCTGGTGAGCTTGAATCGCTGACCTTGCGGTTCAAATTGATCTTGCAGTCCAGCACATTAACCAGCAGTGCCATACCAGGACTCCACTAACAATAATGGCCAAGCTTATTTTTAGTATTCACAATGCATCAAGAAGTGTGCTGAATTTAATCACATATTTGGTCTAATAATGCTACTATTTTCCCATTTTACAGATGAGGGAACAGAGCATTAAAACTACCCAAACCTATTGCCAATGGGTAGATTCCAAATCACAGCCACCCTAAAGAACAGAGTAGAACTACCCCATAAGGTTTCCAAGGTGATGTGGCATTGTGGGTTAATGTGCTGGATTGCAAAATTGGTTTGAACCACAAGGTCGGCAGTTCAAGTTCACCAGCTGTTTCTCAAAAACCTTATACAGGTTGCTATGAAGAAACAGAGTCAAGGGCATTTAACAACATGCAATCTTTACAGAAGCTGACTGCCACCTCTTTTTCCTGTGAAGCAGCTAGTGGTGGTTGTTTCTGTTGTTGTTAAGTGCTGTCAAGTTGTCTGCAACTCATAGTAACCCTATATAAGGTTTCCAAGGAGCAGCCGGTGAGCTTGAACCGCTGATCCTGTGGTCCAAACTGACCTTGAGGTCCACTGCATTGGTTATCTCACAGTGCCACACCAAGACTCCTAGCTAGTGATTGTTGTTGTTGTCATTGAGTGCTGTTGAGTTGATTCGGACCCATAGTGACCCTGTATAGGATTTCCAATGAACAGCTGGTGAGCTTGAACCACCGACCTTGAAGTTCAAATGACTGCAGTTTGACACAATAGCCCACAGCACCACACCAGGACCCCAGTTAGTGATTTGAACTGCTGTAATTTTGGTTACCAACCAAGCTCTTAAACACTGAACCACCACAGCTCCTAAATAAGCTCTGTTGTTGTTGTTGTTAAGTGCCAGTGAGTCAGGTTCCGACTCATAGCAACCCTGTATAGGGTTTCCAAGAAGTGGCTGGTGGGTTTCAACTACTTACCTTGAGGTTAGCATCCAGTGCTTATCCTACAAGTACCACACCAGGACCCCATACAGCCTGAGGTTTAATTACTTGATCAAGGTTTTACAGTTACTATGGTGGGGGGAACTGAGACTTGAATCCATTAGTCCGATTCTAAAACTTCAATGTTTATGATGCTACTTCCCCCACATTAGACAAGATATGTAAGATTTGTTGGGACTATTCTCCCTAACTATTAGAGATTCTGTGTCTATAAAGTTGATTAAAGAAGGTAGGAACTGTTTTTGAAGAATCCAGTTATGTGCAATAAAAACAACAAAATCAGTTGTTTTTTTTTTCTCTTAGATAGCTCTTGTGTTTCATAGTATCATAAAGTCATGATTATAATAACCTAATGTACAATTATTAAATTAAAATTTTTTCATTTAATTTTGAAATTTCACTAGAAAATCTGGTAGAAATTACTGTAGTAAATTATTACTTTCCTTAAAATATAAGACAGTGCCCCACAAAAAAAATGACTCATTAAGAATTTAAGAGTTTACTTTTTGTTTAACCTAATAACACCTATAATGATTCATTTTTCACCTCCTAACACTGGACTGCTAAGCACAGGGATGACAGTTCAAACCCACCAGCTGCTCCTTAGAAATCCTATACAGTGTCACTATGAGTCAAAATGGACTTGACAGCACTTAACAACAACACTTTTGAGATGGGGTGGCAGGGGATAAAGTAGGGAACCTGTGGAATAACTGATCCTCTGTCATCCCATTTCGAGGGGAGCACAGCAGCTCCATATGATAAGCACTGGACTGAGAATCATAAGATCAGTGGTTCAAACCCACTGGCCATTCCTCAGAAACCCTATACAGGATCACTATGAGTTGGAACTGACTTGGCAATACTTAACAGACTATGGAACAGATTTTGAAATCATTTGACTATAAAATTCTTTTCTTCATGGATTCTTTTTATGGCGGCCCAACAGTTAAGAACTCAGCAACGAATGGAAATGTTGGGAGTGATGAACCCCCCAGCAGCTGCAGGGGAGACAGACCTGCCAGGCTGCTCCTATAAATCCAGATGTGTGCTATAGAGTGACCATGTGGGCCAGACTACAACTGCCCCACAGGGTTTCTTACACTGCACTCTTTTCTCCCACGGAGCAACTGATGGGTTTGGACCATGGACCTTCCAGCAGCTGAGTGCTCCGACCATTGCACCACCAGCTCTCTTGCCTGTACATTGCTGCTGCTGTTAAGTGTTGTCCAGTTGGTTCCAACTCATAGTCACCCTGTATAAGGTTTTCCAAAAGAGCAACTGGTAGATTTTAACTGCCTGGTGTGGCTTTGTGGGTTAATGCGCTAGACTGCAGAGTCGGTTTGAATCTCACCGTGGGAACTTCAAGCTCACCAGCTGCTCCTCGGAAACCCTATACAGGGTCGCTATGGGTCAGAACCAACTCGATGGTATACAACAACAAGAACCTTCTAGTTAGCAGTCCCATGCTTATCCTACAGTGCCAACCCAATACAGCCTAGAAAATTCAGCGAGGCAGTTTTGCTCCGCCACATATCAACTCAAGAGTTCCTTAAAAACAACATTTTCACGGAATTAGCATCAGACTCCTTTTTGCTTGGAGAAATACTAGTCAGACCAGTGATTTTCAAAGTGAGTTCAAAGGCAACTCTTGATTTTCACAAAGGAGCCTCTGAAACCAAAAGTCTAGAGAGGATGCTGTGGACTGCTAAAAGGCTTAACTGAAAGCAATGCCTCTTTTGTGTTCTAACTATTGGACATCCACACATTATTTCATTTGTGGGGGAAAAAAGAATTGTACTTTAAAAATATGTTTGAAAGGCACTGGTCTTCAACTGTACCTGTTCTATGTATACTGAACTGAGTAGAAAATCTGTTCATATGTATCTTGCAGGCAGGCAGTCTAAATTCACCACTAGCTCCATGAGAAAAAGGTGAGACTGAACACTCCCATAAAGATTCACAACCTACAAAATCCTATGTCAGGTTGCTGTGTGTCAAAATTGACTCGATGACCGTGGGCTTGGGTTTATATATCACATGTTGTTTTTGTTAAGTGTCTTGTAATCATTCTGACTCATAGCAATCCTGAATAGGGCTTCTAAGAAGTCCTGGTGGCTTTGAACTACCAGTAGGATAAGCACTGGACAGCTAATCACAAGATTGGTGGTTCAAATCCACCAGCCACTCCTACAAAACCCTATTCAGCACTGGTGGGAATGTCTGACGCTTGGGCCTCAATCATTTGGTCTGGCTCTACCAGGGCAACCGCAGTTCCATCTACCAAAGGGGTGAGTTAATGAAATATCTAATCCAATATAGCAGGCTAATTTTTAAGATGATAATTTTGTATGACTCACGAATGATGTTATAAATATCCAAATGGACCTTGGCAGAAAATAGAGTAGACCCTGCTACAGAGTCGTTATGAGTCAAAATCGATCTGAAGGCACCTCACAATGACAACAACCTTGTGGTGTGCAGTTCAGTGTTTATCCTACAGCACCACACCAGGAACCATATTTTTGTTGTTGTCAAGTGTTGTTGAGTCATTTCCAATCCATAGCGACCCTATATATGGTTTCCAAGGAGGGGCTGGTGAGCTTGAACCACCGACCTTGTGGTTCAAACAACTTTGTTGTCCAGCGCATTAGCCTGCAGTGCTTCACCAGGACTCTAGGTACCATATGGTGGCTGTGTGCTGTGAAGTCGGTTCCGACTCACAGCGACCCTGTACAGGGTTTCCGAGGCTGCAAATCTTTATGGGAGCAGAACGCTTCATCTTTCTCCCACAGAACAGCTGGTAGTTTTGAACTGCTGACCTGACGGTTCACAGCCTGATTCGTAACCACTATGCTACCAGAGCACCTTAGGTACCATATAGGTGCCTTCAAAAAATATTTGCTGGATGAAAAATCTAAATAGATGAAGTTAGCTCTAAATAGAGTTAACATGAATCACTTAAACTGCCATACAAATATAATAAATTAAAGGCATCTTTTGAGGAAGTTATTTCAAGAAGATAAGCATGTTAATCATTCTAGAAAAAAATAAAATAAAACCAGAATAATTTCTAGTAAATGTATATCATCTTATCCTGTGCCCTAACCATTCTCTGTCTCTGAAGAACAAAGGGAAAATGATCTGGATTTGTGAAAATCTCAAAGGCCTACGTAGTGTTCAAGGACATCTGCCTCCTGAACAAAGATGTGCAGTTTGGAAAGTTCTTCAAGTTAATACAAGCTCTGTTTCAGTGGAAGAGGTGGGAATTACCCATTCTTCCAGTTTCCAGTGGAAAAGAAGATGTTTACAACTTGTTAGGAGTCCTGGTGTGGCGCTGTGGGCTCATGCATCAGACTGCAAAGTCGTTTGAACTGTAAGGCTGTGGTTCAAGCAGTGGTTCACTGCTCCTTGGAAACCCTATACAGGGTCGCTATGGGTCAGAATCAACTCAACAGCACTTATCAACAACAACAATAAGAGAACTTGAGCAGTTAAATCAAAGACACATATGAGCTATGGCTAAAGAGGCTGCTCAGCATACATTCAATTTTCTGAAGTCAAAGTAATATTTCTCCAATAGGTTCAGAGCTCTTCCACCCTGTAAACTCTATTAGGACTCTGACTTGCGAAGTCCTGTTGTTGTTAAGTGCCATAGTGTCGGTGCCAATTCACAGAGACACTGCATAGGGTTGTCGAAGAACGGCTGGTGAGCTTGAACCGCTGACTTTGTGACTCAAACTGAGTTTGCGGTCCAGAACATTAACCCACAGCACCACACCAGGACCCTGAGAACTCCTGTGCATCCTCTAGATTCATGCCCACTCTCACTCACATCAAGAGACAAACGTCTGGGTCACTCTGAATTAAATGAATATATTGAAAGGAAACTTACACATGGCCCAGTTCGTGGGCTATTGTAAAAGCCGTACTCAGTCCACTGTCTTCACTTATAGAACAGCTTCTATAGGGATCACAGATGGTTCCCAGTTCAGCAAGACCTATTAGAAGAAAAGCAAACAAGTACACAAACAAGGATTTACTTTAAAAAGCAAGTGTGCCTTAGAATAATAGCATGCAGCAAATTGTTTTAGCAGGAGAGGGATGTACACAGTGGACTCACCTAAGGTATCGCATTTGTCCTGAGCTCGGCAGATATCCTGTCTAAAAGCAAAACAGACTTAGGGCCTGATGACCACAAAGAGGAAATGCCAACACAAGCAAACAATTCAAAGCATTCACAACAGCACATAATCCAGGGAAGGGCAATACACTGATCACACTAACAAGGCCAGGGGTTCCAAGCTCATAAAGAGTTTGAAAATTAAATGCTCCATTAAGAAGTCTTCCTC